GCGCTGACCAGGACCAGGACCAGGGCCAGGCCAGCCCAACCCGTTCCGAGCCTGCAAGCCTCAGTACGGGCCGGACACAGAGCAGCGAATTTTGGTTTGGTTTGAAGCTTGCGGTGCACTGCGCCTCGGCCTCGGTTGATGCTTTTGACACGATCTACTGATTTCCCCGCTTTCCTGCGCTGCAAATGGGTTTTGAGCGGAGTTGTGGCTCGGGAGTTTGGTGGCTTGTGCCGGCTAGTGGGCTAAACGTATGCTAATCGGCTTGTTTGCTGGAGGTGGAGTCGAGGGGAGCTCAGGTGCGGAGACTGGAGGCTGGTGGCTGGAGGGGTGGTGTTGGTCAGGGCTGTGAAATGCATCAAATGTTTATGTGGCACAGAGGCTGTCATATGTGCTACATCGAAGAATGGAGGCTCGCGATGGAGGAAAGCGATTTATGTTTAAATACTCTCCATCATACAGGTTCAAGGTTCAAGTTCATTAAAACTGGAAAGTTTAATTTTAATGAATTCGCTTACCGTTGTAAAAATTCATTTTCTTTTTGCTTTAATCTATCCTTTAAAAATAAGGAAAAAAAACTCTTTTAAAAGGATAAATTCTAGGGACCGTAATTATACGCTATATTTTTTAAATCATAAAAAAATAATTAAATTTTAAGTTTTATGGATAATCGTCGATGATAATAATTATCCATAATGATTATTTTTGGGCGAAAAAAAATGTAAATAAAAAATAATGATTATTTCATGAGTTTTATCATCAATGATTATTCATAAAACTTAAAAGTAAAAAATTTGGTGGATATGCATAGATTATTCCTAAAGCAGCCTATTGGTATATTTACTTCTTTTATTCGGGTATTGTAAGTGAATGATTTTTTTCGTCTACAAAAATACAAAATAATCATTATTTTCGGTCCCTGATAATTTTATTTATTTTTGTATATTTATGTGCACTAATTATTTAGCGATTTAAGTAATCGTTTTTCGACTAGAAGATCTTAATGTGATGGCTCGAAGCCCTTTTATGAGCAGGTTAACTCGTCAAGCTTATTATCACCTCAGCTAAGTGCATGAGTATGTTGAGAAATCCTTCACGCAGATACAAACTGATGGCAAGCAAACTTTTTATGCACCAAGTTGCCTCTGCCACTCACTTTGTATTCATTTGCTGCACGTGGGTCCGGGAAGTGAGCAAAAACTAAAACACAGAACAGGGTTTCTCCGCACAGACCCACGCACATCCTCGTGCCAGTAAAAGTGATATCTTTTATTAGCATAATGAAGTCATAAACATTGCAACAGTTAACCCGCAAAGTCAACAAGTCAACAGCAGAGATAAAATCAACAGTCACCCACATTAACTTCAATTCTCTGCCTCGCACACGCGTACACCATCAGCCCTGTCCCTCTGCCCGATAAGCGATCAGGAAAAAACTCCATTTACATGCAGTCCTGCAAGTCGACGGCGCAGGCCAAAGCGGAAACGGAAGTGCAGAGGCAGCTCAGAAATAATATCAAAAATGGCTGCCGGAGGCGTCAACAAAAAGTTGCAACTGGTCACAAATCATCTTAGGAGCGGCGAATGCCGGTGCCGGTGCTGGTGCTGGTGCTGATGCCGGGCTTTGCTACGTGCTACATGCTGCAACCGATGCCAGTGTTGTAAAATGCTAACGAGCCCCGGCCACGGAGCGAGCGGCAACCTTTGTTGTCCCACTCCCGCCACATCCCCAGCTCTGGCTTCGACTCCTCCACATCATCATCGTGCTCGTTGTCGCTGATGTCGCCGCTTTGAGTGACTTTGGCATGACGGCGGAAGGTGGCCTCTAACTAATTTAGCTGCCATTGCAGCAGGCAGCATCTTCATTTGCTGGAATAAGACAACCTTGGTGTTCCTTGAAGCGATATCGCCAGCATTTCGCTGCAAAATGTGCGAACTAATACTTAAATTCTCCATGTGTACCATAGAATAGATAATCGTACTTATTAGCAATTAAACCTTAAAGTAAAATAAGAAATGAAGAAGAAGTTTGAAATTTATTTTATTTTTAATTTATGATTCGGAATCAGCTTTTTAAATGTGCCTCTTTTTCCACAGAACTTGACTAGAAATTGTTCAGCTGAAATCGTTTTCTGGAATCCCAATGCATAAGTCAGCGTCTCAGTTTCAGCAGAATGGGCTGCAGACACCGAGCCGAGACGGGCCAAGCCGAGCCGAGCCAGCAGCTGGTTGCACCTTTGCAAGCTCCAGCCAGCAGTTGCAGCTATAAAATTCCAATTTACTCTGCATGCAGTTACTTTCTTGGCAACCAGACACGCCCCTCAGCCCGATCCCAATCCCAATTCGAGGCACTCTGCCTCTGCCTTTACCCTGCCCCCAGTGCTCTGTGCATCCCCAGCCCCAGGCTGATGCCAGTGGCTGCCATTTCTCGCTTTGCCTTTGCCTGTGCAAGAGAGTTTTCCTCTTTTTCTTTTAGCTGGCGCAATTTTATGTATTTTTATGGTAGGTTGCAGCCACTGACGCTGCTGCCGCTTGGCCCGGAAAGCGGAAACCGAAAATTGCTACTTATTATGTTACTAACTTTGTGTTGCAGCTACCGCTCAGTGTTCCTGCCCCCAACTCTCTCTCTCTCTCTCTCTCTCTTTCTCTCTCACCCATTCCACCCCTTTTGTATGTGTGTGTCAGCTGGAGCTGGAGCTAGATGGAGCCTGTTGTTGGCTGGTGTGATAATGTCAGGTTTTGTTAAAATTAAATTGCATGTCTTGCTGCGTTGAAGTTAAATTATTGCCAACCAGGGTCGAAGGTGTGGCGGCGGCGCCGGCATCCCAGCCCCAACCCCTCCGCCAGGCATTCAACTTTACATCTCCAACTGCGAATAGTTTTACAAAAGTTTGCCTCAAGTAGCCTACGGATCCCACTTTAAACAAGTCATAGAATAAAGGTCTCTCACACACCCATACCCATACCCATACGCACATCAAACATTTTATAAAGACCCTTTTTTACTCATTCTCGCAGCGGGGAATATAAACATTTTTGCTTTTCCACCACAAAAGTATGCAACAGATTTTTTTTCTTAGTCGCCGCATGGTGCCAACGCAAAAAACAGGCATGGCTTCTATGGTTAAGGGGTAGGGTGCAGTGGTAGCAGGCATGTGGTAACCGTCGCCAATTTTTGCATGTGGCATCAGAGCCAAAAAAATCACGCTGTGATTTTTACCAGCATTACGAAATATTAACAGCACACAACAAAACATAAGAAAAGCGATATTTCCCTTTTAAGAATGCACTGGAATATAGATATACATATGCGTACATATACATACTTACATGTATGTATATGTACATATATAACGTCTAAGTGGGAGATAAGCTGCACCAGATAGCTGGTGTGGTTTTTTTTTGTGGATTAAAGGCTCATTAAATGATGGTCGAATGGCTTATACGAAATCTAAGTTAATAATAAAAATGGGAAAAGGGAAAGTTCGATGTAAGCTCAATAATATTGCTGAAGGCTTGGAGTTGATTAATCGAAAAATCGTAATAGGAAACTTAATGCCTGAATTCTATCAAAATTAAGTACAAGAACCCGAAACTCCCGTAGGTTACCAATTTCCATTAAATTCTTCTCAAACTATATCCAACCTAACTATCAGATTCACCTTCTATCGTCGTAGTCTTCATGCAGATTTCATAAAATCAGCTTAGACACATCCCGTAAAGAGCTCAGCCATTTGTAGCATTTACCCAACATTTTTTACCGCCCACGGAACCAAAATTCTCAGCCATCCCTCATCCACCTGTCAGCTGATCCAATCCTTGACCTTGCCAAAAAAAAAATGGAGCACAAAGAAACCATGCAAACTTTTTGGGAATCCATCAGGAAATATTTCCGCTCAGCGTTGTATCCCATCAACCCTTTGCTTCACCCACCAAGCGATGCACAACATGAAAAACAACACGTTCAGAGGCAATAAATCTTGGCCGACGAATGTTTCGCACGAATGGGGAGGAAGAGACCAGAGACCAGCGACTGGACCAGAGTACACACAGAGACCACGCACACATTGCAAGACAGACAGGAGACAGAAGACATGTTACATAGTTCCCTTGGAGTTGCTGTTCGGCAATTTTTGCGGGTGACAATGAATTTTGGAGTGGCCGTGTACAGCCGTGGACAGCCATGACCTTTGTGCCGCTGTGGAAATAGAGGACAAATATTAATACTAAAATTGAGATGTGAAAATAACTTCAACGAGTCATAAAGTTTTCCATTTCAGTTTCGAATTTCTACACAATGGTCGTACAGTACGGGTATGGGTAATTTATTGGCTTCATAGCGGACAAAACATCCTATCGCATCCATGCCCTGGTTCATGTGTTTTCCAAATACTGAAAGAGGGGAATAGCCAGGGGAAGAGGACTGTCCCAATATTTGTTACTCCGGGAAAGGCAAACATTAACAAATGTTCAACTACCTCCGTATCAATATCACCCCCTATCCCACATCCCACAGTCCACTTCCTACCCTCTCTCCCATCTAGTGTATCTCTAAATTGAGTACGTGTTGTTCTAGCTGTTGAACGTGTTTCGGTAAATACTGAGGCCAACACGTGTGAGAGAGAGTGAGAGCCAGGGAGCGGAAGGGACGAATGGGAAGTTGGCAACATATTTCTTTCAGTTATATGGATTTCCAAACGTGTCTGATTGTCCTCTAATGGCATTTTATTGCATTTATTAAAAAGAACTTAAGAGCTTTCGGGCTAATGCGGAAGTCCGTATAGAAGGCCAAACAGAAGCCTGATAAAAACTTTCCCCATTTGAATCAACAAAAGAACATTAAGAACACCAAAGACCCTAATAGTAATACAATATGCTGAATATGCTGAATAATGGCTGGTACCAAACGAATGAGAGAGTGATCAAAAAGAGCTAATACATCCCTGAAGACTGGAATTAGAGCAGTCTCTGAACATAACTTCTGAGCTATTAGCTGTTGAAAGTTCATTAAAAATTTAATCAAGCGTACATCTCACATACTGGTACGTTAAACAACCAAACAAAGTATAACTCAACAATTTTGATCTATTGCAGGAAAACTATTTCCTAGAAGGTTGCCGAACCACTCAGGGCATTCGCCGATGGGTAGTGCGAGCGGAGCAGCATACAGCGCTCCCGATCCGTGAACAGGGTGCGGCGCTTGAGCATTATCTCCCGCTCGAGGACGGCGCGTGCCGACACCAGATCGGACTTGACTCGCTCGGCCTCGTCCAGTTCGTGGAGCATCGCGGATACGCTGCTCTGGATGGTGTGCACCTCATCGATGAGGTCCTGCTGGGCCACGTCGCGACAGTTCTCGACATTGGGGCGGTAGCTGCGGTTGTCCATGCGCGTCTGGGCCACCTTCATGGCGGCGTCGAAGCTGCGAACGCGACGGCGAATGTTCAGGATGCGGGTCTCGGTGTCGGCAAGCGTCTGCAGGATGTTGCGAAGATCGTTCTCGAAGCGCTGCACTGCCTCCTGGGTGCAATTGATGCGGGCCGTGAGCGCCTTCTCCACAATATCGGCCTGGGTGCGAATGTCGCGGGCGGCGTTCATCAGGATCGAGTTGAGGGTGGCGCGCAGGGCCACCGACTTCTGGCGGCACTTCTCACAGTCCTCGAGGGTCTCCATGCTGAAATGCTCCCAGTACTTCTCTGATGCCTGCTCCGGGGGCTGACGCACAGCCCCGGGCCGGAACATAATCGTTCGCGAATTATTGTTCAGGCCCTGGTTGAGGGTATCGATCTCGTAGGCCTCCTTCTTGTCACTCCAGTCGTACTCCAGCCGCTGCCTGGCCGTGCGATTCTCAACCTGCTGTGCCTCAAAATCCTCGAGGGTCTTCTTCAGCAGGCGGCGTATCTCGGCAATCAGCGCCAGCTCGTTGACCAGCTCTTCCTCGGTCTGATCCCTCACCAGCTCCGTGTCGGGACGAGAGGCCCGCTTCTCTATGCACTCCTTGGCAATCGACTCTGGAACGCCGAGTATTACGAGGGACTTGCGCAGCTTTATGCGTTCCACTTCCATTGTGGATATCTCGTCGGCCATCGCCTTGATGGCGTTCTCCAGAGTGTTTTTCCATTTGCCAATCAGCTGGGATCGCTGCTTCAACTTTTCGGTGGTTTCGGTCTGGGTTTTCGTGACCAAGGCCGACAGTCGCTGGAACTCTGTGGCGGCACTAAAGCGGTTTCTGTGGGAGGAAGGGTTTAAGTTGAGCACTCTGAACTCGCAGTACTCCCAGCTAGTCATCATTACTTATCCGCCTTGTCCAGCACTCCGTTGATCAATGAAATCGTTTGATAGTTCCTTGTTCGCCACTCGTTGGGACTGTAGCGAGTGATCGAGTAACGATCCACCACAGGACGTGTTCCCGTTAGACCTGCCATGGGACTCCAATCGACCTTGCCAGAAGCCCAGGGCCCGATCGGGCCCATGGGCATCAGCTGATCCTTGTGTGGCAGATCGTCGCCCGCCTGCGGTAAATAGCATGGCGGATTCTGCAGATTGTCCCTATTGGGGTCCATGGCCCGCTGCATCAAAAACATCTTGCTGAGGTTAAAGTTAGGCAACAAAAGTAAAGTCACTCACGGCAAACTGAACTTCCTCCGTGAAGATGGGCTTCTGCGACTGATTGTACTGATCCGCTCGCATGTTGGCCAGCTGCTTCTGCTGGTGATCAACTCCTGCCTGGAGATCCGCCTGCAGCATCTGGTGCTCCTGGGCTGGACCCACCACAGTCTGGTGGATGTGCTGCTGGACAGCCTCTTCGGGGTACGGTGCCAGAGCCACCTTGGCCGGGTTCGGAGCCTTCGTCAGGCGATATGAGGGAGGATCCGGCTGCAGTGGGCAGATCAATGGAGCTGGACATGCTGGCCCCGGATTGAGGTCGATGAGCTTGGCTTCGCAATCACCGTCTCCCTTGTGCGGCGTCTTCTCCATACAACTCATCCTCAATTAACTTATGCACAAGCCGCCAAAATATAACAAGAATATTTATTTTAAACTAATTTTTCTCCGTTTCGATTCTGTGTTGCTCATGGAATATATTCCGACTGTAAATTTCGTTTCACTTGTTTAGAGGGCGTAAACATTCAAACTGCCACTTGGGTATGGCAACGGTTGCTAGATTTTTTGTTGGTGCGAAAACTTCGAGTCATAGGGATCCTGAATTCTAGGATTATTATGTTGCTTAACAAATACATACGGACATATGTACATACATACATTTTATGTACACATGTCGGATCGTAATAGTTTTCTAAGTGTATTTTGGTTCCAGAATTCAGTAAGAGGTTGTTCTCAGTGTGTTGTCTTCTGTTGGCTGTTTGTTTCTCTGCTTCTTTGATTCACCTCTTCTTGATTTACCGTTTTTATGTACCGTATTTTATTATCCCAACTAACATTCAGTGTTAAAAAATAAATAGGAAATTTTTTGCGAAAGTGAAAGCAGGAGCCCGCCTGATTGAGTCAATTCATTAGTCCAATGATATTCAAATGATATTTGTAAGAATACTGAAAATGTATAACATATTTGAGTATACAATATTTTATTACGAATTAATTGTTCGCAAGCCCAACCAAAACTTATCAGCCGACCGTCTTGAGGATCGAGTTTGTCATCTGGATCGTGAATCGACACAAAAATTCAACTAAATTGTTGTTGTTTTTTTTTGCTGAAAGGGGAAGAGAAAAATATAAGGAAGGAATTTATGAGACTATTTGCAAAGGAATGAAACAATTGCGTGAGCATGTGTATTGGTTGCTAGAGGAGCAAAGTAGATGAAAATGAAGAAGGGGATAAGATAATTGTGACTTGAATCCACCGATAGGCACAGTTTTAATACCCCATGAAAGTGTAGGTTTATTTACGTTTACCCATTGGAAACGTGTTTTGGAAAATGTGTTTATCCATTTTATGGTGGGAAGTGCCTGCTTGCAAACAATTCGCACACACTGGTTACCCTTTTAAAAATGTGAAACATTCATTTTTTCTTTTTCAACGCCCTCTGACAGGGCTTAAAACATCCTTATGTTAAATTCTCCTAGGATATTAATAGTCCAGCTATGGGCATATGTACGTTTCTTTTGGAGGGTCAATAAAACCTTTAGCCCACAAACGCGGAGTGATTTCTTGTTTAACGTGTCGCAATGGAAGCCGTTTGGAATTCTCTTCTGAACCCAAAATGTGCAGTGTACATTGTACATACATACGTATTTCTCTGCAATTATTTATCAATTGACTAAATGAGATAAATTAAATTATCCTTTGGTTGTATTGAAATGGCGGAACATTTGATGTTTATTCTAGAACTTCTCTGACGCAAGACTGACAATTTTAAGCATTTATAAGCGGATGGATTAACTAGGCAGTAGCGGACATGTTTTGGAAGAACATGATGGAAAACTCAAGGACGTTGCTGGGCTTATAGCGCAGAAGATTCAGCACATAATCCTGCATAAAGTCTGCCAGCTCGGAATGGCCCTCCAGATAGTGCATGGCATTGTCGTAGTTGAGGGCCTTGAGCTCTCTGAACTTCTTGGCCAGCTGGGTGTTCTGGCGCCACATTAGCTCGAGCTTGGGCAGAATCATCTCCTTGCGCTTCGGCGGGATGCAAGCGGCATGCAGCAGATAGTTGTAGCCACGCCAGTAGTGCAGGGCAATGCGGCCCTCGGGAGTCATGTACGTCTCGGCCACATCCTGCAGCTCGTCGTTGAAGCACTGCTGGGTGACAATGTGCACGGTGTTCTTGTAGGTGCGATAGAAGATGCGCACCACCTTGCGCTCCTTGTGCACCACCAGATTGCAGCGCAGCACCCGGCCGTAGAGGTTCATGGTGTAGTACTCAAAGTCTCCCACGAAATTGTTGCACACCAAGTGGCGCATTAGCAGCATGATGCCTCCGTCGAGCACAAACACGTGATCCCGATCCTTGATGTCGATGCGGGCCTTGAACTTCTGGGTTTCCTCGTTGATCTTCGTCTCCCGAATCGCTGTGAGTAACAGATCCGCATGGTTTCTCAGCTCCAGGGTCTTCTCAATCTTCGCATGATCGACGCGATCGAACTCCATGCGCTTCTCGCAGATCAGCAGAAACTTGTCGTCGTACTTCCCCTTCAGCTGATGGCCGCACTCCACGATGCCCTTGCCCTTCTTCATCTTGCTGCTGCTGAAGACCACGTAGCCATCGTAGGCCTCCTCCACGTTCAGGCAGAACTTGCCAATCTGTTTCAGCTCGCGCTCAAAGAAAATCTTCAGATTCTCGTTGAGCTTGCAGTTGGTGTTCCTTAGCTTGGAGATAAACAGCTGCTCCTTAAAAATTACGGCTTGCTTTACGGGCAGAAACTGCTTGGGATTTATGCCCCAGTCGCACACCCGATACTGGTCATCGGAGGGCTCGATGGGCCGCAGCAGAGCCGATATGATACTCGATACACTGATCTCATCCTGGGCACTCAGCTTGTCCGTCTCCTCGCAGGCCTCGCTATAGGCGCGCTTCTTATTCGGGTCTCGAAAAGCGTCCAAGTCACACGGCACAAACAGCGGTGGATCCAACGCCAGTTGAGTTTTATCTTCATCTGTATCTGGTTTGAATAAATGGGTAAAGTGGTTGGGAGCACCTACAAAGATAACTTACCCATTATTGGGATTTTTATGGAGAATTTTACTGCTATTTGAAATTTATACAAGTTTATGCATAAAACGGTTTGAATGAACGATTTGTAACTCAAAGCTGTCTTGAATTGGGATACTTACAGTCTGTAGACTGAAGGCACTAACCCTACTATGGTTAGTGCTGAAGGCCACACAAGTTTCTTATATAAGTCAGCTTAGAAGCTCAGTTTGAATGTCATACTTCATATGATTGCCACTCAAATCTTGGCTTTGTCCTGCTGGCCAAGAACTTGACTTGGCAATTAGTCGGACCATCAGGGAACGTCTTCAAGTGTGAGGCTCTGTGTGTTTAGTAATTCTGAAGTGGCCCAGAGCGCAACATTGCCTCAAAATTGCGCTGCAACAAGCGAAACAAATAGAAGAAGTCCTGACATGCTCCCTTAACTAATTGCAAGGCCAACAGCTCTTCAGACAACTTAAAGAGCGACAAACAGCGTGTTCCAGGGGGGTGGGGAGTGGCTGCAGGGGCTGACAAGTGTAAATAAGGGGCCGTGTACGTGTACTTGAGTGTGTATAGTATATGTGTGTGCGTGTGTAAGCCTTGGCGTGCTTTAATGGCAGAAACTGTAACCGAATGGACAGCAAATAAAAGGGTCACAGGACGACGGCGGAGAATGGACATGCTCATTGTTATTGGGGCGCAAACAGTGGGCCCATCGGCCACTGGAAGGCGTCTCATTAAAAGGCAAAAGGCGTATGAGAATATCAACAGTTGAGAAGGAACACTCACAACACACAACACACAGCAAAGCGGAGGCGCAGATAAAGGCTGCACAAAGGGTGAACAATAAATAAAATGGCTCCGTCTCGGTCTCGCTCTCAGGCTCGGCTCGGCCTGGCCTGGCCCGGCCTCTGCTTCGGCAATATTAAATTTGTTATTAAGCTTGTAATTATTTGCTGAGGCGGAAATGTAGGCATCTGCTTCTGCTGCGTCTCCTTTTCCTTCTTCTTAACTACGCGAATTACGCCCCATGAAAATGAAAATATAAATAAATTATGCAAAAGACAAAGACAATGCGTTTTTTTCTCCATTCATTCGTTCATTTATTCCGAGGATCCTTCGTTGTCCGCTTATTTCACAGTCAAGTAAACTTTAAAAGGGAAGCACAGCACACGGATCCAAGGTCCTGACCCCAGGGCGCGGACAGGCACAGGAGTTGTGCTTCTTCACTGTAGACCTCTCATTAATTTGTTATGCATTTCTCTCTACGCGTAAATTAACTACAATTGTTTCTGTGTGCCTTCTTCCGCTTACATTTAATCTTCATCTCCATCTACATTTCCATCTCCACACGCTCTCCATTCATTTTGCATTCATTTCAGGCCTCGTTCATTTCCTTTGCATTTGTTTTGCATTTCTCGTCATTGTTCGCCCTCGGCCCCACTGTCCGTTGCCCCACACTACACCACACCACACCACACCACACCATACGCCACCCCACCCCATCCCATTGAGTGCTAAAATAAATCAAAATGTATGTGTATGTGAGTGGGACACAGAGAAACTCTGGGAAAAACACCAACTAAAAAAAGGAAAGCAAATCTTAAATGAAAATTGTAACCGCTGCGGCTGTGGAAAAAGCCATTGGGAATCCGTGGAGGCTGGATGTGACGGGGGCTGACGTCGGAGCTGGAGCTGGTGTTGGAGCTAGAGCTGGAGCTGGGGAAAACTGTTGGTAATCTCCAAGCCCACATGTATTGGGCTCGTGGGCTTTGGAATACGGATTGGGGGGTCGGCGGGGAGCTTAAGGGTCAGTAATAAATGTCATGATATGAAATTTATTTACGCGCTACGAAAAACCAAAGCAAAGGAATGCAATAACAACAGCACCAAGGACCAAGGACCGAGAACAAGAATCGGAGGAACAATGCCACAAAAACAGATACACGCACAGAAGGCGACAAGCCTCAGCCAACTGGTAAAAGACAATTAAAGTGGAATGCCAGAGAAGAATGCCGAAGGGCCAAAGCGGATGATAGAAAACTCTGATACATGCTGATCACATGGAGGAGTGGCGTAAACGATTGCAAATTCAAGAAAGATTTATTAGCTTTGCCAGCAATTTTAATCTATTAATTTTTACAGCGGATAATTCAATGGCGAGGCAAAAGGCTTCAGCGAGTTCTATATTATTCTAAGTAAGTACCTTTTATATTCTAAAGTTAAGTTGCAGAAAATCCTATATACAAAAAATGTTCTCCCTTGCCTAGATGTATTCATTTGGAGCGCAGAAAATCCCTCAGAAGCCCTGTGGGGCATTCACTTGCAACAGAATCTAACCCTGAAACAACAGTCTGAAATTTCCCTTAACTATAGCGCACACAAAATCCTTCACACACACATCCACACACAGAGAGAGAGAGAGAGAGGGAGAAACACACCACCTCATGGATGCAATTATATGAGAGACACGCA